CCATAACTCCACTGGACTTATCCAGAAATTTATTTTCTGACCATATTTTTGTAGCTGGTTGATTATCACCATTTGGTTGAGCTACATTGTATATCCTGTTATTATTCATATCCAAATTGCCGGTCATTAAACCACCAGAAAGTGATAGTTTAGTATCAAGTTGACTTACTCTTACAACATCATTGGAAGCAGTCCCCTTAGCCATATTTGTCAGTGTTTTGTTTGTCATATCATAATTCCCATCTGATGTGAGATTAAAACCAGTGCCTGATGCACCAGTAGCACCTTTAGGGCCAGTGGGACTAGTAGCACCTTTAGGGCCAGTAGGTCCAGGGACACCCTGAGCACTAGTAGGTCCAGGGACACCCTGAGCACCAGCAGGTCCAGGCAGGCCAGGAGGTCCTTGAGGGCCAGTAATACCTCGTTTTCCTTTTGAGTATGATTGATTATAATTAGGTGCTGATTAAATATTCCCATTTTATAATAATATATTAGATATTTCCATCCACTATTATTCAGTTATGTCCCTTACATGAAATCCATTTGCTTTTAACAGCTTGGCTTCTTCATTAGTAATTGGATCATCCATCCCAATAACTCTGCCAATAATCCGAGCTTGTTCTAAAGATTCATGTTTGTGATTAAGAAGTTCATATAGACAAGCCTCTGATAGATTTTCAAATAATTCAGCAATCATTGTACCATATTTGACATCTTCAATTTCTAGATATACTTCCATATGAATAGATTATATTAATTTAGTAAGTTGTTCTCTTTGCTCGTAGGTTATTTGATTTGGTTGGATAATTTGTCCAAGAATTGAACCAAGAGCCCGTTTCATATCTAGCATATCTTTCAATATTACAGGATGGAGGTCATACAACAATTCAGTTGCCATTAGAGCATATGGGAGATTTTTGAATTTCAAATGTACCTTCATATATTATTGTTTATATAATTATCTACCAGAGAAAGAATAATACATTATATATTTCCATAAAAGTTTCTTTTGACAGTCTTCATTGGTTTATCCACATACAGGAATGAGTATGGTTGTTTTGTTACTTTAATATACTGATCCTCTGTTACATTCAACTCTCTAGAAATCATATTTCTCTCATTACTGCTCGGGAAATCATAAACAACATAATGACTGCAGTTTAATCTGATATCTTTTGGAGTTTTATAAAATGACTGTGAAAGGTAAATAACACTACAGTTCTTGTGCCGGCCTTAAATGAAATAATCGATAAGCGGCTTTTGGTTTTTATCACAAATAAAGTCATCAAATATTACAATTTTCTGGGCATCACTTTCCAGACTATTGACAGGTTTAATGTCATCATTATTGCAGTGCATTATGTCATATCCAACCTGGCTACTAATGTCATTCAATGTTTCTATCATGTGTCGATACTTTTCCTGTTCCAGATTTTTACCGTATAAATGGATCTGATCATAATAGACTAATGGTTTCATAAGGATGTGATAAAGCAAGTTTGTTTTGCCTGACCCTGAATTGCGACATATTAGCATCCTAAAATTGGATTTGGGCATGTACTTGTACAGTTGTTTGAAATTTGTATTTTCATCTTCATTGAAATCATAATTTGCAGTATCCATATACTATTATGTTAGATAACTTGAGATACGTTAAGATAAGTTGAGATAAGTTTTATATAACACAATAGTATAATGGATATAGAAAGATTCAAGAGACTCAGTATTCCTAAAATTGAAGCAGGAAAAATGACTGAAGTTGTTAGGGATGTTATAAAGGAAGTTCGAACTAGAGATCAGGATACATATGAAAAGGTGGCTAAAGATCTGAAACCTCTAACGGAAAAATTTGATAAGGAGATAGAGGAGATCAGTAAATTGAGAGAAGATGTCAATAAACAAGTTGTTCCATATGCTGAGCAAGTTCGAAGATTAGCATTACCAGGCCCAAGTGGTGAGGTGGCACCCAAAATGATAGCTGATATGAATAAAGGATTTACTCAAGAAGAACTGGCATTCATACAAAACCAGGAATTGCCATTACCAGCTGACACTTTTTTACGAACCTTAAAGGAACCAAATTATGCGAAACAATTCTGGATAAATCCGGTGAAGTAAATAAGAAATTAGGTCAGAAAAAAGCCCATTTGAGTACAACAAAAACCGCCAGAAAGAGGAATAAGGATGAAATTGCCGAGTATACTGAAGGAATTGACATCATAAAAAAATAGACAAAGAATTGGTATTGTAGAGGAAGGCGCAAAAACATTGAAATTTGGTCAGGGTATTTATACACAAAAATAAGAGAAATGCCTATAAGATTAACCCTAATACTGGTGTTTATGGAAATGTAAGAATTGACGTGATCAAACTTTATGGCCAGCTTAAACTAATTGCTCATAAGGATGGTAAAAAAGTCTGTGATAAGCAAGTGGACTTTGATATCCTTGATCTGCTCACAAAGCGGTTCAATAGTAAAAAGAAGTATTCACCATTATCAAAAATGGTATTTGATGACCTGAACAGAATGAGTGATATTCCAATTCACCGAACCAGTAATAAGTACAAAAAAAATCGGTTCAGGGGTTGTTTATTATAATAACCCAGCTGACTTACTGGACAGATTGGAATTGTTAGGTGGCTCAATACTGGCTGGAAATAATGGTGTGAAAAATGAATTTTCCAAAATTGCTCACACACTAAACAAATTAGGTGTTCTAAATAACACCCAGCTTAATAGTCTGTTGAAGGAATATGTAATCTAATAATATAAATACAAGAAAGAGCTATTCATATTTCATCTGTTAATAGACAGAAAATCGGACAGAATATAGCAGAAGATTTCATAATCAAATTCGATCCAGTGTTAAAACTCCAAAATGATATGACACACGAAATAGCACTGGATAAGGTTACAATGACTTATAGTTGGCATAATATTTCAGATCAGTATCAAAATAATGAAATAAAATACTCACCTGATGGCGGAAATTCATGGCAAACCGTCAAATTTATTGATGGAATGTACACTTACTCAGATCTTAATGATTATCTCCATCAGTACATGAAAAAGAAAGGCCATAAAACTACTGATGCAAAAAAGGATGATGTATACTACATTAACCTAACATTCGTATTGTCAACATATAAGATTCTTATTCAGATTGACAACAATTACCAACTGGATATGAGAAACAGTAAATTTGGCGAGTTAATTGGATTTACAGAGAAAATTGTGAAGAAAACAGAATATGGGGATGGTAATCTACCTAATATCACAAATTCCATTGACATGATTTATATCAATACCGATGCTATTACGAACAGCATATTGAACGGTGTAAATACTAATACGTTAGCTGTTATTCCAACTGACAATTTGACAAGAAGTTTCCCATTCACATTTGAACCCAGAAGACTATTGTTTAATAAAGTTTCGCAGCTTAATATTTCACAAATGAGGTTTTATATCACAGACTCACTGGGGCGACCAATTGGGCTAAATAAGATTGACTGGTTTATGACATTGATATTGCGATCCAAACCAGCATAAAATCTAACCTAATAATATACAATGAGACAATCAGAATTCAAGAAACGTTATGATGTTAAAACGGGGAGATATGTTAAGAAGCATATTTATGGAAAAGGTGTTGTTACCGATGTTTTCAAAACGATTGGTAGAAAGTTGTTTGGAAAGACCATGAAGGAAGCTGTTAAAACAGCGACCAAGAGAGGCCGTTCAGAAAGCTGCCACTAAGACTGGTGAATATGCTGGTGAAAAAGCGGGCGATAAAATTATTCAGTTTTTAAGCAAAAAGAATAAAAACACAAAAACACCAGTAGCGACATCGCCAATAGAAAATCCACAATCAAGAGAGTTAAGCGATTACGAGATTAATGAACGAGTAAATCAATTACTGTCTGGAGGCCAGATGAGAAGATTTATCTAATCTATTAATATAATGAATTCTTTTAGAGATCCAAAATATGTTGAACGATATGAAGATGTTATTTTTGACCTAGAAACAGCACTAAATACAACTGTCGCCAATAATGCTCACCAAAAGAAAGATGGCTATAGGTTTGTTGTTGATAACAGTGGTGACGTTACTCCATTTGACTGGTCCAATGCTCGAATCAGTCTCGACTTTAAAGTAATCTTACTGGCTAATGGTGGTAACATTGTAGTAGCGGATCATAATGGAATTGTAAACGGGTCGTACTCATCCTTGAAACATTTTGATATTAAGCTAAATGGCAAGAAAGTGTATGATTGTAATGAGGCAAATCACGCGGTTAATATTAAAAACTTACTCGATTACAGTCCGGCTTACGCCAATAAGACAGCAAGTAATGAGTTTTTCTTCCTTGATACATCCAGAAATGCGGAAGAGCGGGAATTTGAAGTTAGCGGTACAAATCAGTTAGCTAAAAGGCGAGCAGCTTACAATAAGGGTTTTGCCCTTCGAAAAGCACTCTTAGGTACTTCATCTACAGTAAATACAGAAATACCACTGAACAGATACTCGTTCTTCGAAATGTTAGAAGATGAGCTGTTACCCAATACGAGGGTTGAGATAAATTTTGAGATTGAGTCAGATGGTAATCTAATTTGGCAAGCCGGGGCTGATTGCAGAGTGGTTATCACTAGGATGCAATTATATGTTCCGCGAATTACATTTACCAGTGAGGGCTAATCATCCTACATGAGCCAATACCTTAAAAATCATAAGTGGACTTATTTGAGATAGAATATTGAAAGATCAAATAGTAGCAAGCAGAGAGCTGGGCATTTCAGAATCTCTTCTGGTATTTCGAAACCCCGACACGTGTTTGTATTCATAATCAATGATGCAAATATTGATGCCCAGACAGCTAATCCATTCTTGTACAACACATTCTCTGTATCAACTGACCCAAGAACCTTATCCAATTGTCACTTGGAAGTTGGAAACGGAAATGAATACCCCGAAATACATTACACACCAACTACTGATATGACTAGAGTCTTCAGGGATGTGTTGAAATATGTTCACAAAAATATTGAATACGGTGAAGGGTCATTACTCAATAAATCTAATTTTAGTACGCTATTCCCCTTCCTGTATTTCGACTTAACAAAACAGAAAATGGACATTAAGGATGGCACTACAAAACTGACACTCAAATATGAGCTATGTGGAACAACGGCAACAGCCTACTCAATTTACGCATTAACATTATACGAGCAGGATATTGAACTAATTCAAAAGGATGGTAAAATAATACTCAGATCGTAAATTGAATATGGTTAAAATTATGTAACATATATTATATACAAGTAATGACGAAATGTTATCCTTATGGTGTGTCACTTAGTAAAGGACAATTGGAAAAGCTTTCGCGAGCTTACAACAATAATTCTGCAATAACAATTAGACTTACCAGAAATGAGTTATCCGGTCCACATGAATTAATGCTCACAAAAACTCAGATCAATAAATTGAAAAAAGCAATGAGCCAGGGTACAGGATCGGATATCAAAATATCAAAAACACAAATCAGAAAGGCTGTTAGACAGGGTGGTAGTTTGTGGGGATCATTAATCAGTTTAGGAAGCAAGTTACCACCTATGGCAATGCCATTAGCCAAAAAAGCTATCGCACCGCTTGCAACAGGCGCGTTATCAGGTTTAGCCAGTCTCGGTGTGGATAAAATATTCGGAAAAGGTCAACGAGGAGGTTTTCTTGTTCCAATAGATAAAATAGCACAATTGGTTGCATACAAACATTTACTGACCACGGGGCAGAAAAAGGATATTCTTAAGTCTCTACAAACTGGCAACGGATTAGTTGTCCGGCCAACTAAAACACAGAAGGGGGGGATTCTTAGGAACTCTACCGGCTAGTATAGGAGTCCCAATGTTGCTAACCGCATTAACGGGAAAAGGACTACAGGCCGATAGAACCGGTTCCGCTAATACAACACCTGTTTATGTTCCCGATACAACTAATGGCCACGGAATGTATAATCCGTATCCCTACATGTCGCCACCTTTCTTTGGAACATGGGAAAACCCGGTTGGTGCGGGAGTAAAAAAAAAAGGAGGAAGGGAAAGGGACTGCTGCTCGGCAAAAACGGTCCATTCAATTCAATCCCAATTCTAGGAACAATACTATAAGATTTATAAACAAACCGTTATCGAACATTGATTTGTTACAATGGATTACACAATTAGGAATAAAATATTTCTGGGGTATTTACAGCCGTGATAATTTACCAGATTAAATACACAAATTGGAAACAGGAATAATTAATCTTGATGATTCAATGGGCGGGGGCAGTCATTGGATTTGTTATAGAAACGTGGATAAAAAATATTGCGAGTATTTTGATCCATTCGGATTAATCATGTCCAATGAAATCAAAAATTATCTGAAAACAAGCGGTAAAAAATTGGTGTACTTATCAGATGAAATACAAGAAAGAGATAGTGTTTTATGCGGTTATTGGTGCTTATATTATCTTCTAGAACGGTAGATCATTATCAGACGTTATACATAACCCCAAATTCAGGTTTACAAATCAAATGATAAATCACCAATTTCTGATAAACTATGTTATGTAATCCATATATATAAGATGACTGAAAAGTTCTGTGTTTATTGCTAAGAAGTTACTCCACATTATATGAATCAATATGGATGTTTTGAGTGCTGCAACTGTGAACCCCTGAGTGAAAGTGATTATGAGTCAGATAGCAGCCATGATACTTATGTTCCAAACAGTAGTGATAGTGATTAGACAATAATTATATAACAAAAATATATAATAATGGTAAAATCTTATTGTGTTAAACAGAAAAAGGAAACAGAATGTGTAGAACCTTCGGGTTACAAAACTGCCAAAAATGGTAGACTTATGTTTTGGTGCACTTGTGCTGAATGCGGAATAAAAAAGTTTAAGTTTGTAAAGAAGGGAAACTAGATTAGCCTGTCCTAGGGGCAGGCGTAATGGAGACAGTAGCTGGTACTGCTCTTGATGGTTTGTACATCACGGGCTTCCATGGATGGGTAAAAAAGCAGTTGAGATGGGAAGATATTACGGGTCAGAAGCATTACGCAATAAAAAGTTACAGAAAAAAGCTATCGACTACGCTCTGGACAAATTGAATACAGTAATACACAATGTGGGGTCTCAGGCTCTTGACCAATTATCAACCAAAATACGACCAAAGAAAAACTACAAAAATAACAGAAAAGATTTGGATGGTGGTGCTGTAGATATCCACAAGCAGATTGGTAAATTACCTAGACCCGCAGGCGGATGGACCTCACGAGGGCATAAATATACAGGTCCTTATAATGATTTAGAAAACCAAGTAAGATACAATCCAGAAACTGGTGAAATATTAGAAATTTATGATCAACCAACTGGGCCAACCGATGCAGTGGCCATGCAGCATGATATTGATTATAGTGTTTGTGGTGATAACCGACAGTGCAAAAATAAAGCTGACCGTAAAATGGTAAAATCGTTAGATGCCATTCCTTATAGTGAACGACAGTGGGGTCACTGGTTAGCTAGAAATCTAATAAACACAAAACAGAAACTTGGTCTTGGTTTAAACTAGAAAAGCAGTCGGGTATCAGTAGGCAACAACAATTAGCGGACGAACTGCATAAGCCCATAAAGCGCAACTTTACTCGGCGGCGTGTTATTAAAACCGGTATTGACAAAATTTGGTGCTCAGGTCTGGTTGAGATGCAATAGTTCAGTGAATGGAACAAGGGTTACAGATATCTTCTCACGGAACTAGATCTATTCTCCAAATATGGCTGGATTGTACCATAAAAGGATAAGAAAGGGGAAACTGTCACAGAAGCATTCAAAACCATCTTCAAAGAGGGCCGTAAACCACAATATCTTTGGACTGATAAGGGGAAAGAATATTATAACAAAAATATGAATAACATAACACTATACTCAACCGAGAATGAGGAAAAATCGGGTTTTGCTAAAAGCAGGCCCGCGGCCCAGCGGCCCGGAGGCCCGGAGGCCCAGTCCTGATTTTCCACAGTTTTTTTGTCCAGCGGTAAATCCACGCGCATGCACAGATCGGTATCGGGTTCGGGCGTGCAAAATGGACGATGGTGAGTTTGAATTGGTTTACCATCTTAATAATCATTTCAATCCTTTTCGATCCTTTCTTTCCTTGCATGTTGCTAAGTGAAAACCGTTGTCATTCTCTGTTTATTCGTCTGTTTACAGAACCCGATAGAGAGGAACTCCATTCTCAAACGATGTAAGTTATTTTCAAACCACAGTTTGAGATTGAAAATTTCATATCATTCATAAGCTAAATAATGAGATATGTGAACTGCGAATTGTCACTGAGTTGCGTTTGTCCGTTTATCAGGCAATCACATTCTCACTTTGTAATCAGATGATCTTACGGTAATTTTGTGCAATGGCAGGCAACAGTTTTGAAAGGTTTTGTAAGGCAGTCGATTTGCGTTTGCATGCTTTCTTTGTGTAACTCTGAAATTTTAATAAGACTTTACCTAGCTTCTCGTATAATTTTTTCTCCGCAGGAATATTCACGAAGATTCTAATGACAGCGTAAGTAGTTGCGTTGTGTCGACTCATTCCCACTGACAGAATTTGCGCTTTTTCTAAGAGAAACATTTCAGTCACATCTGATTTTTGCTTTTCTCTTTTCTTTTTTTTTAGGAAAATGGTGAGAATGCTTCACTCCTTCCACCGATGCTGTGGAACGGTAGATAAGCTTCTAGATTTGTCTATTTGTTTTCCTTTTCACAATCTCTATGATGTTGCAAAAGTTACTTTTTAATGGAAATGTGCAATGAACTTTTGTCTTCAGCATCAATGGTCACTATTCTGAAAGTGAAGCTATCAGGAAAGCACTTGCCTTGAGTATTGAAGAAAGCAGGTAAACGGCAGTTTGTAATGGTAAAACCTTTACTTCGATGTGCTTACTTCGTTATTTTAATTTAGATAATTTTCAATTTTTTCTCATTTTTTCAAAATAAACCTTTACATTTTTTTCTTACTCAAAACCCAATTTTAAATCTGAGTCTTTTTCTCATAGCAACATTTCATGCTCCACTGATGTCTCTGTAAGTACTTAGTGCAAATTTTTAGCTTAGTTGAGTGTTAAACAACTGGTTTAATGTCATAGGTGACGAATTACTCCTTAATTTTGGTCGAAATTTCAGCGTTAATTTTTAATTTCACATGCGAAATTACAAAATTGCCATGGCAACCTTCCGTACGTCTCAGTGTCAAGATGGCGACGAAGTTTTAAAATGTCATGAATGAAGATGTCAGGGCACAAAAAGACGCTTTAGAAAACCTGAACACACGAAAGAGCACATCAAGAAGGATTCTAACAGGTATTTTGTCGAAAAACTCTGAACTTAAGCCAAATTTAAGCTCTAAACGTTCGAGAGAGTGCAGCATGCAGGAGTTCTCGATCGATACGATCCAGGATAAACATGTCAAAAATCCAAGATTGTTAACGTAATTCGTCACCCATGATATTAATAGGTAATCAAATGGTATACTCGTGAAATTAGGGAATAATTTCACTGGCGTTTTGTCCAAATCCTAATAATTTTCAACGCGCGTGAAATTATTCCCTAATTTCACTCGTCACCATTTGATTACACATACTAATTTAAATCACTATTTTGTGGTTGTGGTTTTTTTTTAATTCTCGTGGAGCCCGCACTAAGGGTATTATTCGCTATCTTTCAGCTACCAGTGACCCCCAAAAAGTCTTGCAAAGATCGTTGTGAACCTCATGCAATAGTAGTAAGTGATGGAATGGTAAGGAAATATACTTGATTTGGCACAAAAGCTTTGTTAATATTAAAATGGTTTCAACAATTAACAAGTGTTTTAAGGTGGCTAATTACGGTTTCCATTACTACCAGTCTTTATCAGTTGCTTACATTGGCTGATAAGTTGTGATCATTTTTGTAAGATAACAGGT